CATGATGTTACGTGAAGAAAATAATCTATAAAAATAAACTGTTATTATTACGTTTAATTTTCAAGATAAAGATATAAAGATAAGCAATATTTCGAATTAATTTACTTTATGGGGAGTGAGGGAAATCGTGTTAACTCGGTTTTGTTCGAATATTTTTTTCAACGTCATTAACATCGAATGCCTTCTTGGTTCCCGCGTTGAGAATGCAACAGGTGAACTCACTTGATTTTACATTGAAAGCTCTCAAGAGGAAAGAAAGAAAGAAAGAAAGAAAGAAAGGAAGAAAAAGAGAAAGATAAAATAAAGAAATCATTTTCTTTTTCTTTTTCTTGCTAATTACTCATCACCGATTTTCACGCTTTGTCCATGTTACATTTTTTCTTTGAATAGGTTAATTAAACGCTTCCTAAGATATTATTTGAAGCCATAAGAACCCTCTATATAAATACAAATACAGTGGCAAACAAAAGTATTAGACTTAGATCATTTAATTTTTTTTATATAACATTCTTTGTAAATTTTTAACACTAGATATACCATCATTTTCAATATACCTATTTCTACTACACTAGTCAAAAAATAACAAAACTCTTAAACTGAAAACTCAAAACACTCGTAAAAAATAAGAAAAAATGTTTAACAATATAATAATTGTAATATATAAATGGGGATTTATAGACATTTTAAAATAACAAAACGTTTAATTATTTACAAAAATCAAATGTTACATGAAGTAGAAATTTTCAATTAAAATGGCCCGACCAGTCAAAATGACTGATCTGCTATATCTAATGTTAAAGAGAGTACAAATTTGTATTTATCTATTTTTATCGTAAAATATATCTAAGTTTAAATATATATTGGTAAGCTACACAAATGTAATCTCAACGATATGTAATATATTTTCTGTGGAAAAAAAAAAATAAAATAAAATTAAAATAAAAAAATCTTCTATGAATAAAAACCATATTATTTGAAAAATATTATAAACACTAGGGAATATACTTTTGTTCGTCACTGTATAATACGTTTATTTATAAATGTATATATTCTATGCGTAGGAGTAATTACACGACGGTTTTTCCAACTGTTGGAAAACAATAGTCCGAGAAAGGGCTCGTCCTACTTATTTAAAGCGAATTCACGGATATGTTTAGTTAGAGAACTCATCTCATAAAGTTAGAAAAAGAACACGCAATTATACATATTATATTATATATATATATATGTGCCTTTGTCTTGTTTCGGGGTAACTGCGCAAACGGTTGCTTAAAAAAGGGGTTACCTTTCAAATCTCTCACAGTTTCTCTCTTAAGTTTTGTAATTTTCCCGCGTACTCAAATCATCGCAATAGTCTACCACTTGGAAAATGAACACTGGTTTTTCCATAAAAGATGATTATTATTATTATTATTATCTTTCGTTTTAACCAACCTTTAGAAATCAACGAACACAATGCAATTGTCTTCTGTTTAATTACCTGCGAATAGACAAAACTCACATTAATATTAATATTATAATTATTATATACATTATATTTAAATTATAATTCTTAATCTTTATATACTTGTAACATAATATTCAATTCGATATAAATAATTTTATTTCTTACAACGAATGAACGGTCAAGAATAATTATTCTTGTCCATTATTCGATCGATGACGAATAAACTGATCGTCACAAATTAATACTAAAATCGTGTCATCGTTTTTAATAGAATCTAATGTACTATATACTTACACCAATGTAATCAATCCATAGAGACATGTTAATTGCCGTTATTCGAGAAGTATTGGAAGAAATAAATGAAGTTATTCCGTTAATGGTTTTAACATTTGAACAAGAGTTGATAGCGGGAAGTCCAAATGACGAGGAGCATGCGTCGTCATTGTTTGAACTAAATTAAAAAGAAAAATTTATTTTGACGAAAGACAAAAAGGAATAAGGATCTTTATCGATATTCTCATACACTTCCGTTCTCATAGATTATATGTTAGATCGTTTTAAAACCGGAAATACATATATACATTTATTCGGTACTTTGTATTGTCTAGAAAATAGGTCTTTTATCGACCATAACCTTTTCAACATTTGTTTTGTTCTATATAAACTGTCATTGAGAAACTAAATTTATAGAAAATTTGAATTTTAGCTATTTTCTATATTACAATTTTCGGAACTTTGAATAAAAATAAATATAATTAATTGTAGAGATTATAAAAAACAAATACTTCCTTTCTAAAAATAAACTATAATTATGCAACTATTCTTAATTGTTCTATTAAATCTTAATTGTTACTAATGAGATTTAGAATTAATTTAAGCGATATAACCGTACTTTTTGAAATACACATGGTATCGCCATCTATTGGTGCGATGCGTAAGCGCATTGTTGCAGTACACCATAGTTATCACCGGCCGGTAATATAGATATTTAAATAATATTTTTAAAAAATATAAAATTATATTTAGTAATGCAATTAATTAAATTATTAGTTCTTTTTATCGTTGTTTTTCAATATTAAAAAAAAAGAGTAATTATAAAAATTCTATAGATATATTCTATATTCTATAATACTCGTCTATACTCGACTATACTCTATAAAACTCGTCTATACTCGACTATACTTTATTATACTTGAGATAATGTAGTCTAATATAGAGATAATGTAGTTTAATATAGTGATAATGTAGTCTAATATAGAGATAATGTAGTCTAATATAGAGAAAATGTAGTCTAATATAGAGATAATTATATATTATACTCATCTATGCTCGACTATACTCGACTATACTCTATTATATTCGTCTATACTCGTCTATACTCGACTATATTTGACTATACTCGACTATACTCTATTATACTCGTCTATACTCGACTATACTCTATTATTCTCGTCTCTACTCGACTATACTCTATTATTCTCGTCTCTACTCGACTATACTCTATAATACT